ACCACCACCACCACCACTACCATCATCACCACAACCACGACAACCACCACCCCCACCACGACAACAACCACCACGACCACCACTACTACCACCACGACTACAACCAACACTATCACAACGACAACCACCACTACCACCATGACAACCACCAAGACAACCACAACCACCGCCACCACCTCCACACTAATGATATGTCTGCCCTAAGCGCTATGCGTGTTAGTGGCAGTGCGTGAATGTAACCATACCAGTCCCATGTAAGATCACAACCCATTGTACCTTCTTGCAAATAAAAACTATTATTTTTATTATTATTTCCTGGAACGTCTTTCTGAGTAAAGAAGAAAAGACCAGAGATGAGATGCCTTGTTTCCTCTGCCCGACATTTCATGAATATCTTATTCTGCCACATATCACGAGACTAATTAGCAATCTGAGTAATTAGTGAATTATTCCCACAAAAGATTGTTCCAAGAGTTTTCAGAATAATTACTGTGACGTTTTGTCAACTTAAGATACGAAGAATTATTTATATTTTCACAAGACTGACCAAATTACGTAAATATTTAAAATGATTTGATGTTGCAAATCTGTTCACTGCTGGGGACGATGTTGCTGGTCTGTTCACTACTGAGGGACGATGTTGCTGGTCTGTTCACTGCTGGGGACGATGTTGTTGGTCTGTTCACTGCTGGGGGACGATGTTGCTGGTCTGTTCACTGCTGGGACGATGTTGTTGGTCTGTTCACTGCTGGGGACGATGTTGTTCGTCTGTTCACTGCTGGGGGACGATGTTGCTGGTCTGTTCACTGCTGGGGACGATGTTGTTGGTCTGTTCTCTGCTGGGGACGATGTTGCTGGTCTGTTCACTGCTGGGGACGATGTTGCTGGTCTGTTCACTGCTGGGGACGATGTTGCTGGTCTGTTCACTGCTGGGGACGATGTTGTTGGTCTGTTCACTGCTGGGGACGATGTTGCTGGTCTGTTCACTGCTGGGGACGATATTAATGTTTTTCCAGTTGCCTGGGTTCCTATAACATGCTGAGGGTCTGGAGCAGGTTGTGGTCCTGGTCCAAGGAAGGGGGGGGGGGGGGTCAGGAAGCAGACTGGGGTTCTATGATTGATCTGGGGGTCAGGAAGCAGACTGGGGTCCTATGATTGATATTGGGGTCAGGAAGCAGACTGGGGTCCTATGATTGATCTGGGGGTCAGGAAGCAGACTGGGGTTCTATGATTGAACTGGGGGTCAGGAAGCAGACTGGTGTCCTATGATTGATCTGGGGGATCAGGAAGCAGACTGGGGTCCTATGATTGATCTGGGGGATCAGGAAGCAGACTGGGGTCCTATGATTGATCTGGGGGTCGGGAAGCAGACTGGGGTCCCATGATTCATATGGGGGTCAGGAAGCAGACTGGGGTCCTATGATTGATCTGGGGGGTCAGGAAGCAGACTGGGGTCCTATGATTGATCTGGGGGTCAGGAAGCAGACTGGGGTCCTATGATTAATCTGGGGGTCAGGAAGCAGACTGGGGTCCTATGATTGATCTGGGGGATCAGGAAGCAGACTGGGGTCCTATGATTGATCTGGGGGTTAGGAAGCAGACTGGGGTCCTATGATTGATCTGGGGGTCAGGAAGCAGACTGGGGTTCTATGATTTATCTGGGGGTCAGGAAGCAGACTGGGGTCCTATGATTGATCTGGGGGTCAGGAAGCAGACTGGGGTCCTATGATTGATATGGGGGTCAGGAGGCAGACTGGGGTTCTATGATTGATCTGGGGGTCAGGAAGCAGACTGGGGTACTATGATTAATCTGGAGGTCAGGAAGCAGACTGGGGTCCTATGATTGATCTGGGGGATCAGGAAGCAGACTGGGGTCCTATGATTGATCTGGGGGTCAGGAAGCAGACTGGGGTCCTATGATTGATCTGGGGGGTCAGGAAGCAGACTGGGGTTCTATGATTGATCTGGGGGTCAGGAAGCAGACTGGGGTCCTATGATTGATCTGGGGGTCAGGAAGCAGACTGGGGTTCTATGATTGATCTGGGGGTCAGGAAGCAGACTGGGGTTCTATAATTGATCTGGGGGTCAGGAAGCAGACTGGGGTCCTATGATTGATCTGGGGGTCAGGAAGCAGACTGGGGTCTTATGATTGATCTGGGGGTCAAGAAGCAGACTGGGGTCCTATGATTGATATGGGGGTCAGGAAGCAGACTGGGGTTCTATGATTGATCTGGGGGTCAGGAAGCAGACTGGGGTCCTATGATTGATATGGGGGTCAGAAAGCAGACTGGGGTTCTATGATTGATCTGGGGGTCAGGAAGCAGACTGGGGTTCTATAATTGATCTGGGGGTCAGGAAGCAGACTGGGGTTCTATGATTGATCTGGGGGTCAGGAAGCAGACTGGGGTTCTATGATTGATCTGGGGGTCAGGAAGCAGACTGGGGTCCTATGATTGATCTGGGGGTCAAGAAGCAGACTGGGGTCTTATGACTGATCTGGGGGTCAGGAAGCAAACTGGGGTTCTATGATTGATCTGGGGGTCAGGAAGCAGACTGGGGTCCTATGATTGATCTGGGGGATCAGGAAGCAGACTGGGGTCCTATGATTGATCTGGGGGTCAGGAAGCAGACTGGGGTCCTATGATTGATCTGGGGGTCAGGAAGCAGACTGGGGTCCTATGATTGATCTGGGGGTCAGGAAGCAGACTGGGGTCCTATGATTGATCTGGGGATCAGGAAGCAGACTGGGGTCCTATGATTGATCTGGGGATCAGGAAGCAGACTGGGGTCCTATGATTGATCTGGGGATCAGGAAGCAGACTGGGGTCCTATGGTAGATCTGGATCCTGTAGCAGACCAGCGTCCTTTATCTGGCATGGGTCAAGGGGCTGGTCTGGTTTCCTGAGCTGCGCTGAGGTCTTTGAGCACACCTGGATGCTGGAGAAGGCCGGAGGTCTTGTCTTGAGGAAGACACGGGTCCTGAGGGCCGCCAGGGTCCAGGTGCCGACGGGGCCCTGGGGCCAACGAGGTCCTGGTGCCGACGGGGTCCTAGGGCCGACGAGGTCCTGGGGCCGAAGGGTCCTGGGGAGTGACGGGGTCCTAGGGCCGACGGGGTCCTGGGACCGGCGGGGTCCTGGGACCGACGGGGTCCTGGGACCGACGGGGTCCTGGGGCCGACGGGGTCCTGGGGACCAACGGGGTCCTGGGGCCGACGGGGTCCTGGGGCCGACGGGGTCCTGGGGCCGACGGGGTCCTGGGGACCAACGGGGTACTGGGGCCGACGGGGTCCTGGGGCCGACGGGGTCCTGGGGCCGACGGGGTCCTGGGGCCGACGGGGTCCTGGGGCCGACGGGGTCCTGGGGCCGACGGGGTCCTGGGACCGGCGGGGTCCTGGGACCGACGGGGTCCTGGGGCCGACGGGGTCCTGGGGCCGATGGGGTCCTGGGACCGACGGGGTCCTGGGGCCGACGGGGTCCTGGGGCCGACGGGGTCCTGGGGGCCGACGGGGTCCTAGGGCCGACAGGGTCCTGGTGCCGACGGGGTCCTGGGGCCGACGGGGTCCTAGGGCCGACAGGGTCCTGGTGCCGACAGGGTCCTAGGGCCGACGGGGTCCTGGGGGCCGACGGGGTCCTAGGGCCGACGGGGTCCTGGGGGCCGACGGGGTCCTGGGGCCGACGGGGTCCTAGGGCCGACGGGGTCCTGGGGGCCGACGGGGTCCTGGGGGCCGACGGGTCCTGGAGGGTGACGGGGTCCTAGGGCCGACGGGGTCCTGGGACCGACAGGGTCCTGGGACCGACGGGGTCCTGGGACCGACGGGGTCCTGGGACCGACGGGGTCCTGGGGCCGACGGGATCCTGGGGCCGACGGGGTCCTGGGGCCGACGGGGTCCTGGGGCCGACGGGGTCCTGGGGCCGACGGGGTCCTGGGGGCCAACGGGGTCCTGGGGGCCAACGGGGTCCTGGGGGCCAACGGGGCATCCTCCTATTACTCCGGAAACTACAAAAGGCTTCCAACATTCTCTGTTAGTGAGGTTTTTCTTGCTAAACTTGGCAGTGTTCCTGTTACTTTTTTTCTACAATACGGGCCAATTTTTGCGCTCCGGAACCAGTCCAGTTCTTATGGCGAGGCTGTTCGCTTCCCCGTAGGCAGTTTCATTTAAAAGCATAAAAAGAGATTTATTATGGCTGTTGTTCTAGGGGCCGAGCTAGGGGCATGAGATAAGGTGCTTCTTGTTTGGTTTGGTTTCTGGTGATATGATCACCTTCAGCTGATATGATAATCGAGCTTGTGATTCAGTTGAGGAAAGCTTCGACGTAAGGTATTCTAATTAGCATTCATCCCTAAAGCATGCACATCCGTTTCGAGTAAATAATGTTAATTTTTACGCATCGTAAGACATTAAGCAATACATTTTCTACTTGAAAAACATAAAACATTTACCCAGGCCAAAACCCCAGAGAGAATGGAGCCATAACAACTCTGTTGACCACTAGTGGTTCCCCCAGAGATGTGTAGGGTAGGGGTCAGGATGGTATCTGTGGGGAGGGGGGGTGTTAGTTCCCCAGAGATGGGTAGGGTAGGGGTCAGGATGGTATCTGTGGGGAGGGGTGTTAGTTCCCCAGAGATGGGTAGGGTAGGGGTCAGGATGGTATCTGTGGGGGGGGGGTGTTAGTTCCCCAGAGATGGGTAGGGTAGGGGTCAGGATGGTATCTGTGGGGAGGGGTGTTAGTTCCCCAGAGATGGGTAGGGTAGGGGTCAGGATGGTATCTGTGGGGGGGGGGTGTTAGTTCCCCAGAGATGGGTAGGGTAGGGGTCAGGATGGTATCTGTGGGGGGGGTGTTAGTTCCCCAGAGATGGGTAGGGTAGGGGTCAGGATGGTATCTGTGGGGGGGGGGGTGTTAGTTCCCCAGAGATGGGTAGGGTAGGGGTCAGGATGGTATCTGTGGGGAGGGGTGTTAGTTCCCCAGAGATGGGTAGGGTAGGGGTCAGGATGGTATCTGTGGGGGGGGGGTGTTAGTTCCCCAGAGATGGGTAGGGTAGTGGTCAGGATGGTATCTGTGGGGGGGGGGGGGTGTTAGTTCCCCTGCAGAGATGGGTAGGGTAGGGGTCAGGATGGTATCTGTGGGGGGGGGGGGTGTTAGTTCCCCAGAAATGGGTAGGGAGGGGTCAGGATGGTATCTGGGGGGGGGGGTTAGTTTCAAGATTGTCCCATGTATGTGGTAGCAGTAAGAGCTTCTCCCATGTATGTGGTAGCAGTAAGAGCTTCTCCCATGTATGTGGTGGCAGTGAGAGCTTCTCCCATGTATGTGGTAGCAGTAAGAGCTTCTCCCATGTATGTGGTAGCAGTAAGAGCTTCTCCCATGTATGTGGTGGCAGAGAGAGCTTCTCCCATGTATGTGGTAGCAGTAAGAGCTTCTCCCATGTATGTGGTAGCAGTAAGAGCTTCTCCCATGTATGTGGTGGCAGAGAGAGCTTCTCCCATGTATGTGGTGGCAGAGAGAGCTTCTCCCATGTATGTGGTGGCAGTGAGAGCTTCTCCCATGTATGTGGTGGCAGAGAGAGCTTCTCCCATGTATGTGGTGGCAGTGAGAGCTTCTCCCATGTATGTGGTGGCAGAGAGAGCTTCTCCCATGTATGTGGTGGCAGAGAGAGCTTCTCCCATGTATGTGGTGGCAGTGAGAGCTTCTCCCATGTATGTGGTGGCAGTGAGAGCTTCTCCCATGTATGTGGTGGCAGAGAGAGCTTCTCCCATGTATGTGGTGGCAGAGAGAGCTTCTCCCATGTATGTGGTGGCAGAGAGAGCTTCTCCCATGTATGTGGTGGCAGAGAGAGCTTCTCCCATGTATGTGATGGCAGTGAGAGCTTCTCCCATGTATGTGGTGGCAGAGAGAGCTTCTCCCATGTATGTGGTGGCAGTAAGAGCTTCTCCCATGTATGTGGTGGCAGTAAGAGCTTCTCCCATGTATGTGGTGGCAGTGAGAGCTTCTCCCATGTATGTGGTAGCAGTAAGAGCTTCTCCCATGTATGTGGTAGCAGTAAGAGCTTCTCCCATGTATGTGGTGGCAGAGAGAGCTTCTCCCATGTATGTGGTGGCAGAGAGAGCTTCTCCCATGTATGTGGTGGCAGTGAGAGCTTCTCCCATGTATGTGGTGGCAGAGAGAGCTTCTCCCATGTATGTGGTGGCAGTGAGAGCTTCTCCCATGTATGTGGTGGCAGAGAGAGCTTCTCCCATGTATGTGGTGGCAGAGAGAGCTTCTCCCATGTATGTGGTGGCAGTGAGAGCTTCTCCCATGTATGTGGTGGCAGTGAGAGCTTCTCCCATGTATGTGGTGGCAGAGAGAGCTTCTCCCATGTATGTGGTGGCAGTGAGAGCTTCTCCCATGTATGTGGTGGCAGAGAGAGCTTCTCCCATGTATGTGGTGGCAGAGAGAGCTTCTCCCATGTATGTGGTGGCAGTGAGAGCTTCTCCCATGTATGTGGTGGCAGAGAGAGCTTCTCCCATGTATGTGGTGGCAGTAAGAGCTTCTCCCATGTATGTGGTGGCAGTAAGAGCTTCTCCCATGTATGTGGTGGCAGTGAGAGCTTCTCCCATGTATGTGGTAGCAGTTAGAGCTTCTCCCATGTATGTGGTAGCAGTTAGAGCTTCTCCCATGTATGTGGTGGCAGAGAGAGCTTCTCCCATGTATGTGGAAGCATTAGGTATCGTGATGCGTCTATTAAATAAGAGAAAAGTAATGATTCTGGTTTAAACAATGAAGAACTTGTATTTCATAAAAGACTTCCTGAGATGTTTGTAGAAAAAAGCTTAAAACAAATTATATTTTAATAATGTAATAATTATATTTTAATAAAGCGGGAACTGCTTCATTATCTAGTTCATTCATTAAAGAAAAATAATTTAGTTTTGTCGCTGGCCTTCACAGAGCTACGAGGTAAACCTTTGTTTGAAAACAGTTTTTTGTGAATGACATTCATTGGAGGTTCTCGTAGTCGGAGCAAATAAGTTCACAACCAACTTATTAATGTTGCGATGTTCAATTGCAAGGATTATGTTGCATCAAGGCAAGTCTCCTCTCAGGAACACTGGAGCCACCAGTGTTGCCTCATGCAACCATTTACACCTTGCAGCAACAATTGTGTTACTTGCTTCACCCTCTGAGCTGGACTTTCTATTGAAATGTCGTAACTCGTAATATTCACTCTGTGGGCTGAAGGACGGTTAGTTACATAACTCTCACTATAAGAAGTAAGAAACTATTACAGTTGGTAATAGTAATATGGTAATGGGGCAAACCCGTTACCAGATTCATTGACCAAGAGTTTTCCATCTACATATACAGGCGCTTTTGGACCATGTCATTTGACGTTATTTAATTTTTTTGCGAACTTTTATAAACACGTGAATTTAGCTAAAATTTCTATCATACATACATACATACATATATACATACAAGCATACCTATATACATACAAACATACAAATATACATACATGCATACA